CATATAGACACAGACATACAGGCACACACAGATACAAACATCCATTCCCACCCTCATGCTCTCATATGCACTCACTCCACACTCAACCAACGTGGAGACAGACATAAAGAGACGCTGTACACACAATCACACTCCCCAAGCGTACTCTACAAACCGGGTCTAGGTACCCTTGCCCCTGGAGGGGGGAATTGCACCCAGACCCAGGTGGTGTTACCCTTTTCCCTGCGGTGGGGAGAGGCAGACCACCCCGACTCCGCAGCAGCAGGGAGGCCCCACACTCCAGACCGCAGTCGGACGGCCAACTCCTCCTACTAGCCCTCCCGCTCCAGCAGGCCGCAGAGAATGGGGGTGGGAGAAGACTCCAAACCTCCCTCCACCCGCTCATTGTAGTGTTGATGCATATGTGTTCTAAGGTGCAATTAAAACCCAGGAGGGCATGGAGCTACCTGCCAAGGAGCAGCAGGTAAGCGCATAGTCCCTCCTGCTAGCCCTCAATGACTAAGTGTATTTAAAATTGAGAGGTGGGCAACGACGTCAGGGGTGAGGTATACACCCTGATGGTAATTTGGACTCCGTGATGGTGCCCACCCCCAAGATCCTATATGTATGTGTAATGAGAGTGTGAATAATGTGAATGTCTAAGTTGTGGGATAAAATTGAGGCAGAGGCAGCCAGAAGGGGACAGGGGGGGGGGGGGGGGTAGCCTCCTCTGCACCCTGGTGACATATCCCCACTCCAAGGCCCTGCATGTGTGGGTGGTTGTGGAGGAGCGGGAAGAGGGAGGCAGCTGGAGATGGGGAGGGAAGGAATTTTCAGTGAATTTTCTCTAACGCCTCCTAGTGGCAAAACTCCTTCCATCTTCTTAGGACACTCCTCACTCCTTCAGTACATTTAATACTAATTTAAAGTACTGATAAATATGTAAAGATCCTTTTACTCTGTAGATGCTATGAAGTTTAAGGTCTCCATCCATTAGTTTGGCTTTAACCATATGTTGCTTCAACATAACACATTCAGCATTAATGTTAGCCGAGAAACATGTACTAATGCCCCTGATCCCATCAGGGGTACTGGCTGTGTGATGTCCTCTTTAATTCTTTGTGTGCGGTACGTTTCTGAAACTTGTTATTTTGGTTTTTCGTAGTCACTTGGATGAGTGGCAGAACGTTTCTCCCGCTGAAAACGTTACATCCTGATGAACAGAATCAACGTTTTGGGATTTCCTTACCTGGATCGAGCATGCATTAAGACGTTACATGGTAGAGTGTGAACATAATGTGCAGATGCACTGAGCTTTGGTCACTCTTGGTGGTTCTCTGTAGTTTCCCTGAAGCCCATGCAGTGACCAGCTCAGTGTTTGATGGATAAAGGAACATGCATGTGTCTACAGTTAAAAAGGATTTGGCTACTTCCTGATTTATTTATTTGAATCTATTTTGCACATTTGTCACACTTAAACAATTCTGATAAAACAAATTTTAATGTTAGTCAGAGAGGTGCAGTCCTCCTGATCTGCTGCCCAGTTGCCTCTTAAACTAGTTGTGCCTCCCTCACCAGTAAAAACTGCAAACAAGTGTTTGTGATAATGGACAACAAGTGTTTCACATCACTGTGGAGGAACTTTGGCCCACTCTTCTTTGAAGAAATGTTTTAATTCAGCCACACTGGAGGATATTCCAGGATGAATGGGATGTTTAAGGTCATCCCAAAGGACCTCAGTCAGCTTTAAGTCTGGCAGCTTTTTTCCCAACTAGGTGTTCCGATGTTTTCAGATGACACGCTCTGGTTCTTTAAACGTTCCTTTTAGCTCTACTTCCATTTCTTCAAGATGCTTTACTTTTTTGTCAGTGGAAATAAAAACGTGTTCTTTATAACTTGCCTTGTTAAATAAAGCTTACACTGAATAACAACACCATCTGGTACAAATTGGTATTACCCTAAAGTACAGCCTTGCCACATTCAGTTATCTTTTTAACAACATACATGGATGTTTTGTACATAAAGTCAATTTTTCCAGACCGCTTTGAATATATAGGAAGGCAACAATAACTTAATTAACGAGTTGTTACAACCAGGGTGTGCAGAGGAGCACAAAGCTTGCAGCAGATGTGCAACAGCAGCAGAAGACCACGCCCGTTGAGCCTCCTGAGGTTACAGACCACACAGGCTCACTAAAAGTTAGCCACAGAAGAGTGCAAAAATGTTGCCTGGTCTGCAACATTCAGATGGAAGAAAGGTAATTTAACTGACTTTGAATGTGGCATGGTTGTGGCGTCAGAATTTGTGAATGTGAAGCCAACAAACCTGCAGCAACTGTGCGATGCTTTCATCTCAATATGGAACAAAATCTCTGAGGAGTGTTTCCGGGACTGTTTGTGAATCTGTGCTGCAGCCTGTAGAAACTCTGGGACTAAAACAAATGAGTGTTTTTCCTATTAGGTCTAACGTCCAGTCTTTATCTCACTCAGAACACAGAAGCTGCCGTGTGACTCGGGTATGAATAAAGAGAGCGGGTCAGGTGTGGTTGCTGTACAAGGAGAGGACATTTATTGTAGAATTCCCAACACCACAGATGCGTGTTACCAGGTCGAGGTTGTCTTTTGATTGATTCCAGTGATTCAGACGGGGTGAAAACTCACATGCATGTCACACACCTGTGCACACACCTGCTCACCTCCACGCACGCGCACACACACACACTCACGCACACTCAGAGGCTAACAATCGTACATATGTTCACAGTCTTGATACGTACAAAAATTGAAATACAAATACAAATAATACCACAATAAAAACATTGTACTGTTTGATTTTTTTTTTTAGAAATTCTTATAGCTATGTTCTCTATTCTGTAGAAAGACAACTATGCTTTAATAAGTGAACATTATTTTTTTGTCTTTCTCTAAAATGATCAGTAGGATATCATCATCATAACGAAAATTCTTACAGTATATATCTCTTTTTTTAATCTATGGTTTCTCAAGCTGACCCTGCCTCCTGACCTTTATTCACAGGGTGCTGCTAACATCCTGCACATGTAAAAGGCTTCAGCTGGCCTTAACGCGCCATCACTCGCCCCCTCCACCATCTCTTTTAAAAACAGCAAAAGAAGATCAAGTAAAGGATGGAGCAGCTTCCTTCTATAAACACAAACGCGTACAGTCAGCAAAGGCTCAGCTCCAGCCTTTAAGAAGACGCTCCTGCTCGCTCTTTACCAGCTGCACTCTGGAAATGATCGTGAACATAAAAACTTTAATGGTAAACGTGTGATCCTCCAGTGTGCAGTTCAGCAGATAAAAGCCCAGCTGTTGTTTTCAGCTCAGAGATGTAGGGTACACAGTCAGACGTCCCCCGCCCCACCGCGTATTGCCTCAAATTTACAACTCATAACAAGTAACGTAAAAAAACATGAATGCCATCATGCAAAAACGAAATAAAGGCAAATGAATTATGGAGAGAAAAATCCAAACTAAACTTTTGAGCTTAGTCCCCCTAAAGCGTCGACAGATTCACAAAGGGATGAGCCAGAAAAGAAAGGATAAAAAGCTAGACTGTCATTATTTTCTTTGTCTGTCCTTAACATCAAAGTGAGTATTTACACGAGTGCACACAGCAGCGTGGACAGACGAGAGTAAAAACCTCCAGAAGGTGGCGCCTACTCTACAGCTGAGTTCTTCCTGTGAGAAAATGACGGGAATACTTTTGTTGTTGTGTTGATGTTGCAGCAATGGTACAATATCTACAACCTCCCTCCCCCTGCTGGGAACAAACCGGGACAAAGCAGCCGGCTGTGCAGCAGCTCCGCGACACTCGCTGCTCGTCTGAACTGTTGTAGCCTCCGACGGGGAAGAACAGCAGCAGCATCAGTGTTCACACTGTGAGAAACGCCGTCTGCACGGCCTCGTGGTTTCCTGCTGGAACAAAGAGCTACATCGGTCTGAGACAAAACATTTAACCGCCATCGTTATCGGCGTGACAACAAGCAGCTTATCCACACTAAGCCTGGGTGTTTTAGAATTTCAACACACACATTTGTTGGTTTTTGGAAGCACCGATTCAGCTTCTTCCAGTTCACATATAAGACACAGCTTTGGCTCTGCAGGTTTGGATATCTGCAGATAGATTCCAGTGTTAAATTCATAACGTGTATTAGCCACTGTGAGGAAGAGCCTTCATGTTTGAGTCTTTCCTCCATAAAGATGACATCTGACGTCCTCCCCCGTATCCTTAACGGGTTCTGACACCTCAATAATACCAATAAACATGTGGTTTGATCACCATTGAAAAGGTTCTTTGCTTTTCAACCCAGAAGCTGCCTATACTGCCGATACAGCTCTAGTAAGCTGCAGAGGCCACAGTGATGCACACCCAGTGGTTTTGCTCTCGACGCAGGCCTGAAATATGACAGAAGCTGCTCACATAACAGAAAACATGCATCCGAGGGGGACAGCGTCAGGGCTCGACTCAGACTTTGCTCTCTTCGGTTCATAGAACGTGTACTGAACGGGTATGGATTACTAAAAAAGTAAAAATTATTACTGATAAGCTCAGCGTGAGCGTCTATTTTGCACTCGGCCATCATTTCTCATGTCAGCACAGTCTCATAACAAAACATGAAAGTCGTGACAAGGCAAACTGTTTTTGTCATGTTCATGGACACAAACTGTCAGGTTATTTTTATGAGCCCAGACTGATTAAAGTAAGGGTTAAAAACGGGGTTAGACTTGTCACCACAAAACTTTAGCTAGATTTGTCACTGATTAATAGAAAGCTTTGAGACTGTGTTAGTCATTTAACCTCCTCAGACCTGAACTCCTCCACGGCAGCATGTTTAATTTCTCTTTGATATTTGGGCTGATTGGGGCCTGATGATTATTTAAACACAGAATTACCAGATTTTTTTTTTTTTACCTGATTTTTGTTTCTAAGAAACATCAGAGCCACATATGAGGATATTTGTTTAAAATTTCGATACAACAGTGGCAGTAAAACGTCCTCGTAAGTGGATATCAGGCCCTTGTAGAGCAAAATTGAGTATTTTGGTCTAAATAAGCCACATCTGTGGACGCCAGGTCCTGGGAGGTTAAGGTCACACTAACTCTCTTTCCACTGCGTCATTCACATCTCTTCCTCTGCTTTTGAGAAACTAACAAAACAATTTCTCTCTGAGGATTTTTTAACTTCTTCTAAAGCCTGAAATTCTTTATTTGAAAGATTCTGCAAAGCGAGTCGCTTTTGGCTATAAATAAGTCTTTGCCATGATCTCTATTCTTTTAACACTACCTTAAATAAAGCCATCTGTGCGCACCCCTCTCACTTCTTACTGAGTCAAATGTGCATCGAGACAAAGGAAGGCGATTATTTCGAGGGACTAGTTTGTCTCAGCAGAAACTTAAAGGCAGCCAGAAACCACGTTGTGTGCAGGTGACAAAACATCCTCACGATCGTCAACGTTCATTTGGTGGCGCTCAAATCCACAAAACTGTCAGATCCAGCAGGCTTAGTGTGGACGCTCATGCTTCTAACCTAATTTAATCACAGTATAAGAAGCAGTACCAGCTTTCACTGTGACACGCCAAACCACCTGCCGCTGTGCCCGCAGTGTGAACACTGCTGTGATGTAAAGTCACTGATGTGCTACACTCTGCAGCTCCTCACTCAATCGAACGGGGAGGTCGAAGGCTACTCGGCATGTCCACAGCAGCCGTTGGCCTGCAGGGGAGGAGGAGGCGTCGTCCGCCGACAGCACGAGGAGTCGCCTTTGCTCAGCAGGCAGTGGCACCGTCCGCGGGGGCCCTGTAGTGCCCCCTGCAGCTGGAGGGGGGGTGTGTGTGGGGTGGGCACACTCCTGCAGTTTTCTCCTGATGCTCAATTGTCCGTTTATCCACAAACACACGCACGCGCACACATTTACACACACATACACCGTCCTCCTGTCATCCCTCCATCCCTCAGTGGCCAATGTTCGGGGTGAAGAAAACAAGGGTTGCGGGTCCAAGAGGTGGAAGGGTTACCAGTTCATCATGGAGCTTCTGTTGAGGGTCATGAAGAAGACTTGACTGCTGCCTCCAGAACGCACCGAGGCGAAGAAGACCTGCAGGGAGAGGGCAGCACGTCATACAGGTGTGTTTCAGGTGTGGCGCCTTCGCTCGTGTGCGCTGTGTGTGCACAGACTCACCTTGTCGTTCCTCTCCGTCAGGAACTTCAGTCGCTGAGCTCGCTTGTGCATGAAAACTCCGTCGAGGTGTCCCGTCTCCACGGACCGGATCTCAATGGCCTTCTCTCCCCAGCCCATGATCTGATTGGAGTGGATGTAGGCTGCAGGGGAGGAAAGGGTGCACACGCACACACACACAAACACACACACACACACACACACACACAGAAGGGGGTTGGACAGGAGAAGACTCAGCACCAGTCTCACACCCAGGCCAGTCACACCTCGAGGCCTCCTCCGCCTCACTTCCGGGAGATTATTGCAGCAGTTTCTGACGGATGTGAACGACCAGCGTTGGGAGAGACGCGTCGCAGGCCTGCTGTCTGGCAAACCTCGTCGCTTTGATGTAAAGCAGTTATCTGAGCTGCCACATTGCACCGGGCTGTCCAGCAGCAGTGTCATTACAGCGTTTAAGGGCAAAGTCAGCCTGTGAAACACTGTGAAACGTGAGTCCGCAGGGTGGAGGCCAGTAAATGATGACAGCTCGCCCAGCTGTGCACAGCCGTGGCCTTTTAAAATGAACACTCCCCTAAAATAATGGTGAAGTCTCAAGAAGGTTTAGCGGGAAATGTTTGTTTGTGATGTGCACTACAGTGGGAAAGTTCAGGATCTCCTTATTTCTGCTGTGTGAGGTTTCTCTGCTTTATTCTGTTAATGCTGCCTCTCTCAGACCAGCGCGCTCTCAGAGGAAATGAACCTTAATCTCAAGAGTTTCACTTGCTGGTTGAATGAGGGTTAAAAAAGATAAAGAGATAAATATTTAAGCCCCAGAAGTTTCAGCTTCTTTTTTAAATCATAAGAAGAAGTTTGATTTTATACATTTTATTGTGTTGCTTAATTTCTGATAAAAGTGAGAAATTGTAAATGGCCTGTATTTGTATTTGTATAGCACTTTACTCAGTCCCTAAGGACCCCAAAGTGCTTTACACATCCACACATCCACACACTGGTGATGGCAGCTACATTGTAGCCACAGCCACCCTGGGGCGCACTGACAGAGGCGAGGCTGCCGGACACTGGCGCCACCGGGCCCTCCGACCACCACCAGTAGGCAACGGGTGAAGTGTCTTGCCCAAGGACACAACGACCGAGACTGTCGGAGCCGGAGCTCGAACCGGCAACCTTCCGATTACAAGCTGAACTGCCAACTCTTGAGCCACGATCGCCCCAGAAGATCATAATTATAAATCTATATATACCTTTTTACCAGTTTATTTGTTTTACATTTATTTCCCCCTCATAGTGGATGTGTGTAACACTGTATGAGGAAAAACTTAAATTATCACTCAGATGTATCCTCTTCCTGTTCACGCCCCAAATGACCTGTATAAATATACAGGATGGAGCTGATTGGGTGTAAATTTTTTCTCTCTACTCCAGGGATCCCCAGTCCCAGGCCTCGAGGGCCGGTGTCCCTGCAGGTTTTAGATGTGTCCTTGATCCATCACAGCTGATTTAAATGGATAAATGACCTCCTCAACATGTCCTGAAGTTCTGCAGAGGCTGGTAATGAGCTAATCATGTGATACAGGTGTGTTGACCCAGGGTGAGATCTAAAACCTGCAGGACACCGGCCCTCGAGGCCTGGGATTGGGGACCCCTGCTCTACTCTATTACATATGTTACTTGCATGCTGTGTGCAGTATAGTTCTTGATCAGGCTGATGAGGGTTAATTAATAAATGTTGCTGGAGCTTTGACCTCTTTAGATCTTTGTTCTCTTTCATGCACTTTCACAGTGCAGTGAAGTTGTGCCAGAAGCTTCCATTTCATTTATATTAATGCGTCACCAGAATACTGGAGGGAAAGTCTCTAAACTACAAGCTCAGGAAAAGTGGCACTAATAGATTTTTTGATATCTTTTCTTTTATCAGAAGTTATTAAAACCGTGTTCAGGCCGGTCCACCTGGTCACCCAGGGTCAGTGCAGCTTCTTGGTGCTTCTTTTTATTCTCATGTGGGAGAAAAGACAAAAAGGGTCCCACATACGGAGGATCGGGATCGGTTGGGTGTTTATAAGCGCAGCGGAGAGTTAAATAAGTCAGGCGTTTAAGTTTTTATGGGGTGGGGGAGGGGTCGAAGCCGGGCTTGGCTGTGAGACAATCTGGTCTGACAGTTAAATACACAAAAACATGTTAACAGGAGACGATGCCCACACAGAAAATGTGACACGTCAGCAACAGTGCTCCAGGACAGAGACACAGTCACACACGTGTTTTTGTCATTCAGGGTTAAGCACAGAGAAATCTGTAAGAGTGAGGATGGGCGGAGACACACACCAGCTTTGACTGACTTGGATCGTAAGATTCAAGATCCACCCCTCATGCTCGGCTGCGCTCTGATGCACTCACGCTACTTCTAAATAATAGATGAATTTAGATGTGCTGCCCCTGCATTGATCTGGTGCAGAGCTTTCATCTCGTTGCTTTGCTGCTGGATCTCACAAACGTTTTGTCTGGACCGGGTTACTGCAGAGCTCGAGCAATCAAGGATGAAAGGAAGAGCGGATGAGAAAGTGCCTTTTGAAATGTTTCACGGTCAACAACGAGACACAACAAGAGGACAGAAGTTAACACAGCAGACACACGACACAAACTCAACTCACAAAGAAGAACGAGCAGACAGTAAACGACTTGTGAGAGCTGGGAGTGAGGAAGGCAAAGATCCGCCGCTATCAGCTCATGCAGCCGCTGGATGTTCAACACTTAACGTTAAAGGGATACGTCGAGGTTTTGGGATGTCATACATTTGGTCAACTTACCCCTCGTGTGATGAGAGCACTGACACTAAACTCTCCATGATCCTGGCGTGTGCGTGTTGCTAAAGCTTGCCTGGTTTTAAGGATTTGCAGACACATTGAGTTTGTTGCAATTCCCCCAGGTCAATGCTGGATGTGTGAGAATGTGACCACTGAATCATTTTGTCTACATTTAACTAAACATTTTACTTTTAGTCCTGATCAGTTGCTCGGGTTGCAAAGAGAAGTCAAAATGCAATGAAGTCGTTGAGAAAATGGCCCTCACTCTCCCCTAATCTCAGTCCTGGTTTCATGTCTTGCTGAATTAAACCTGGTGTTCATTTAGTGAAGTTTGGACCTTACATAAGAAAATAAACCAGGTGTGCTTCAGGGTGGCCACACTATGTGTTGACTAAAGTGTATGCAGAGTATATTTGTAATATAAAGAGTTTAATCATGATTACTTTTTGTAAAAGTTCAAATCAATAAAGTCACTCCCTCTGAGCCAGCACGGTTACTTTTTCTAAATCTTGTGCTGATTTTAAAATAAACTGACTTAAATTTTCTCACACGGTAAAGACGTAGAAAGAGGTAACGGAGGCGATGGAGACAGTTTGTTCTCATCAGCTCACTGCTCTGAGTTGACCAAGTGCCCAAACCTGCTGTATCCCTTTAAGCAGGTAATGAAACAGGTGAGTGAGACGACAGTCTGGGCTTCTTGTTTACAGGTGAAAGCAAAAGGCAAGAAAAGGCAAGCGTGTTGCTCTGAGCGGAGAAGGGGTGTGGTAGATAGTGAGGGTGAAAGATGATCTGCTGAGACCGCTTATCAGAGGTCAGAGGTCAGTGGGGTCAGGGAAAAGCGAGCTGATTGGTTGACGTACCGACGGAGGTGGGCATCTCGCCCCACTGCAGCACCACGTCTTTGGTGATGCGTCCGTAGGTGTTGACGTAGACGCCCTCGTCCTCGTAGCACAGCAGCATCTCCATGCCGTCCGTCTTGGGCAGAACCACGATGGCGTGCGGGGTCACCTGACCCTGAATCTGCCAGGACGACAGACGGGAGGGGGGGTGTTGAATGGGGTGGGGGCAGGGGTATTAGGAGCTGGACCCCTCTAACATCCCCCCTTCCCCACCCTGAGAGAGAAGAAACTGCTGCAACAATAAAGCCTCCCGCTCCTCAGCCACGCAATTGCCATGGAAACAGACACGAGCACAGCGTGATTCATGACTGCCAAAAGCAATGAGAGGCGGTTGCTGTGGTTACCGTCTCCTTGGCCCGTCCATCTCTGACTGTAACCAAAGCGGGGTTAAAGGAGGACAGCGATTCACCCTCTGCCTCTGGATTCAAACACCAGTTCATTCACTAACAAACATTCACTCATTCATCTGCTAATTCACTCACTCGCTGAAACATTTCCATCTGTGACTTACAGCCTCTCCTCCTCACACATTCCTTTGTTCTCTTCATCACTTCTGTTCTGGGGCTGTCACACATTCACCATTTCATTTGTTCTGCTATTAGCTCATTCATCCTCTCACATTTCCTCACACGTTCACTCCTTAAATCACACTCATATTAAACATGCAGTCAAACACAGTTACATATAAAGTACACATATGCAGTCATGTTTACAGCACATTGACCAAGGAACTGATCGTGGACTTCAGGAAGACCAGGAAACACTTGACCCCTGTTTCAATCCAGGGGGTCAGTGTTGACATTGTGGAGGACTATAAATACCTTGGAGTACACATTGACAATAAACTGGACTGGGCTAAAAACACCACAGCACTTTACAGGAAGGGCCAGAGTCGTCTCTATTTTTTGAGGCGACTGAGGTCCTTCAACATCTGCCAGAAAATGCTGAGGATTTTCTATGAGTCTGTGGTGGCCAGTGCGATCCTCTATGCTGTTGCATGCTGGGGGAGCAGGCTGAGGGTCGCAGATGCCAACAGACTTAATAAACTGATCCGTAAGGCCAGCAATGTTGTGGGGATGGAGCTGGACTCCCTCAAGGTGGTGTTGGAGAGGCGGATGCTGTCCAAGTTAAAGACAATGTTGGATAACACCTCCCACCCACTCCATGACATGTTGGTCAGTCACAGGAGCTCGTTCAGTGAGAGACTGAGATTACCGAAAAGCACCACTGAACGACACAGGAAATCATTCCTGCCTGTGGCCATCTCCCTGTACAACGCATCCACTTAACACACTGTTTGCTGCTACAACTACACATGTTTCTTTTCCAACTATTTATTTATAAGTGACTTATGTATGTATGTATGTATGTATGTATGTATGTATGTATATATATGTATATATTGTACTATTCTTAGTTAGTGTATTGTCTGTCTTGTCTTAATGTTGGTTTAAAATGGAGCACTGTAACAAAAAATAATTTCCCCCAGGGATCAATAAAGTATTCTGATTCTGATTCTGATTCTGATTAATTCGGTGTGATCTACTGTAACCACAGCTGCTATCTGTCTGACCTCGGCCTAACTGGAACATCTGAATGAATTATGGGGGCGTGTCCCCACAGAGCCTCGCACCAGCTTCAACAACAACAGCCAAACTTAACCTTAATGTTACCTAAAATAAACTTTTAATACTTTTTGGGGTAAAGTCAGAAAACTTTTAAAACATTTGTTATGGAATTACCAGTTTAATTCCCTGTAACCACTGAAATTGAAGTTATGGCTCTCTCCTAATTCTTTTACATTGGGCTTTATTATATTATGGGGACATGTTCCCCGAAGGAAGGCAGGTCCCTGTACGTGCACAATAGAGGTTCACAGCTGTTTTCAGAGGACGTACTGTTGTGAAACCACGTACATCCATAGTAGGAGTATTGCTTTTGTGGTGGGAAAGATTTACACCAAGAGTGGGCAACTCCAGGGCCGATGTTCTGCAGGTTTTAGATGTGTCCTTGATCCATCACAGCTGATTTAAATGGCTGAGTTACCTCCTCACCAGAGGCTGGTAATGACCTAATCATGTGATTCAGGTGAGCTGACCCAGGGTGAGATCTAAACCCTGCAGGACACCGGCCCTCGAGGCCTGGAGTTGGACACCCCTGCCTTACAAAGTGATTCACATTGTGAAGAATTGTCCCTGAAGACAAGCAGCAGTGTATTAATACCAGCACACACACACACACACACACACACACACACACACGCACACACACACACACACGCACACTGCCTCAGCCTAAACCTAACCCAAGCCTAACTTTACCCTGAGCTAAAACCAAGTCTTTACTTTAGAAATTACTGATTTACTTTGTGGAGGCCTGTCCTAGTAACACACACACACACACGCACGCACGCACACACACACACTTACATGTGAGGGGATGTAGATGTCGTAGGGATTTCCAGAATCCACATCAATTACATGGAAGCCAACACTAGAGCCGTAGATGACCTTTAACCTCTGCCCTTCCTCTACAGTCAGGTCCACCAGCTGGGGGCGATGCTGCAGGTCAGTGAAAGACTGGCAGACAGAGAAAAGAAGATTGACTGAGGTTCAGTCATGCACTAAAGCAGCTGGATATAACTTTGTGAATCAGGCGTGTGATATTTCCTCTCTAGTTGCAGAAGACAAATAAAATAAAGACATACAAAGAAATCAGTATCATGTACTTTTCCAAATATCACAAGTCTTAGCTTGATTACCTTGAAAGCCATAAACTTGTGGTAAGGTTTAGGTGCCCAGGCATAGATCTCAACTGAGTTCTTCAGAGCAATCACCAAGAATTTAATCCTCTCGTACTTCACTGCAGAAATAAAGACACATTTTAATGTGAAATCTCAGGATTTCAGCTAAAAAAGATTTTAATTCAACATAAGATATGATAGATATTAATTTCTAGTTTGTTAGTGAACAGGTCCGCACGTCTCCCATAAACGATCTGAACGTACCGACTTTGTAATGCACGCAGCCCTCCAGGTCCCCGACTGTAATCCAACCCTGTTTCTTCTCCACTTCAGGGTCATTGTGTAATATCCTGTTCCTCAGCCAGGACAGGTAGTAAACCCGCAGCTTGTTCTTCTTCCCTATTTTGGAGGAAAATTCAGAATTCAAATGAAATGATAATTCATTTCCTGTATGGAACAAACATAAATTAAATGGTGTCTGCGTCTTTGTGAGTTTAACCCATCAACTGTGGATCTGTGATGTGGCATTTGGTGAAATCAGCTGCCAACCTGAGATGGTGACCAGGACGTTGAGTCCCTCCAGGACGTCCATCTGTTGGAAGCGCCTTCGATTGATCAGGTTGTAAACTTTGCCTTGACCGCTTCGATCCAGCAGCATCAGGCCGTTCTCCGTTCCCACCAGCAGGTTCACTCCTGCCCAAAACACACACACGCTTCCTTTTTAGCGCCTCTGTATCTGCACAGGATTCAAATTATCACGAGGCTGTTGCTGACGTGACAGTTTTACCCCAGAGAGCCGCACAGAGGATCTCCGAGTTGAAGCGTTTCTTGTATTTACGGATCTCGGGCGTGTCGCTGTGCGGCCTGATGTTAGTGGGGTTGACGTTGACCACGGAGATCTTGCGGGCCTCATTGAGCCTCGCCTGCTCCTGCTTCAGCAACTCATCAGCAAACAGCGCTGCAGCACAAAGTACAACAAAATGCAACATCATCTCATCTGCAGCTGCCCCATCCCTGAGACAATAATACAATATTTTACACTATTTTTTCATTTTACGCTACTAATATATTGGATTCTATTATTTTCATAATTATAAATTAGACTACATATATATCTATCTATCTATATATATATATATATATATAAAAATACTGGCAATCAATAACAACAGATACAAACATGATTAAGTCAGGCTGTCAGGATGTGGGTTGCAAAGCAGCTTGCAGATGCATGGCTACTATAGGGGGGGCTAAAGAAACTTTAACCTGAGATTTTCGGGTTAGAAGCATCAGCAGCACTAACACTATATTTGACCTTTCAGAGGGTAAAAACAGTTTGCTGCCAGGCTGCGTTTACTGTACGCCACCTGCTCATGTGACTGATGCTTTAAATTAGAAGAGAAGCCTACCTGAGGCTGAGGTTTTATCATCTTCGTCGGTCGGGGAGGTCCCGTACACCCTCGGATCAACAAATGGCGTGAAGGAGGACTTGGAGCCTCCGCTGCCTCCCATGCCAAACTGCAAGCCACAGAAACACAGACTTTACAGTCCAACACGTGTTTGTCAAACACTTACCATGAACAGCAAAAAATCTGTATAAAAAAACTGGGATCAAAATATAGGAAACACAAAGATTTTCTATGAAGTGTCACAAAATATAAACCGGTCCTCATCAGTGTTTCCTGTATTTTGTCAGAGACCTGTATCAGGTGCTCAGAAAAAGGAAAGGGGTTACTTCCTGGATCAGAGGCTGGAAAACTGAGCGAGGGAGGAACAAACGAAGAAGGATCAAACGAGTAGAGCAAGGCAGGTTGAGTCAAACAGGACAGGGCAGGAAATTAAAGGTGCCACTTTTATCTGTTAACATATAAAACTTTTCGGGGGCATCTCACCGTGTTAGATTTGACATTGAGTTTTCTCTTCTTTGAAATCAATTCAGTTTCCTTCCTGTAGCTCCAATTCACAACAACGGCCACCTTAAGGACCCTTTCCTACAGCGTGACTGGCAAAGGATCGAAGCAAAGGATCACTGAGATCCGCTCATCGGAAGTATAAGGAGACAAAACTGAGCGGCCTAAATATATGAGCAGTGTTGAAATCGTTCCAGATGTGCACAAGAAGATGATCTTGTACAAGCGCTCGGTTTTGTGGCCAATCCTCTGAAACTACATATGCACCTTTTATTCATTTAGTCCACAAGCTTCAATAATGTCAGCCTTAAATGTGGCTGCTGGTAATTTCCCACCCTGATAAAGCAGCAGACAGCTGGTGATGGGGAGTGTGGGCAGGTGTCGGGGCGAGCAGGGTTGAGGTTTGTCAGGATACGGGGAGGTTTAGGGTGGAGAGGATTTCAGGGCCGATATCTGGGTGCTGCTCCACCTACTTGGACCCCAGAGGCATCCCCTGGAGAGACCAGGGGGGAGGTGCTTTGCTGCACCAAATCGGGGAGATTGGCGCTGCCATAGAACAGTTTGCCGGGGAAACCGTTGCTGGCGGTTGAGCTCCGCCTCCGTTCCCTGTGTTTCTGGAAAAAGAGAGAGAGGGGCGGGCTACTGTGCAGCGAGGCTGTTTGACAGGTCAGGTGATGGAGGGAGGCGGGACCCATGCAGGTGTGCTTGTTTCAGTGTTATTTTTAAACTGGGGAGGGTGGGCACATGTGCTATCAGGTCTGTGTTTCTACCACGCTTGGCCTTTAACACACACTTACACTGTGGTGAGTCTCTTAGATTGTTTTCTCCAAAACCTTCAGCGGAGTTCAAAGATTATTTGAATAATAAACAGAAATGGATGTGCAATAGTTCTGTTACCTCTAAACTATGCTTTCAGCTCCAGCTCACTGGCCTAGTGCAGAGGCACAGGTTCAGCTTCGCTTTGGGCCATTTTCTGTGCGTTTTCCCCTTACACTGTCCTTTCACAATAAAAGCCCCAAAGCATATTCTAAACAAACTGTTTAAATCAGTTTGTTTTGTAAAGCTGATTTTGAATCATATCTGAGATTTGAGGGCAAGCTGTGTAAACAGACCACGATCACTGCCCTCTACTCAGTAAAAAAGCAACAAATCTGGTGCAGAGATGAAGAGTGTCGGTTTCTGTGCAGTCAAGGTCAAAGGTTAAAACGGAGACTCACCTCACGCATCACCAGGGTGCTGTCCTGGGAGCTGTTTGCATACGTGTCCTCGTTGGTGTCGTTGTGCTCTCCCGCTGTGCCGAAGGACTCGTTGGTGCTCTGACTCGCAGCGGGCCTGAAAAACAGATTTTTATCATCTTTTAATAACTTTTTTAAAATGTTTTTTTTTTAAACAGACGCATCTGACTTTAAAATAAGAGCTTAACAATTTGAACAGATCCATCTCCTGGGTTATATATGTGATAATGGCGTGTGGAGAAACAAGTAAGAAGTACAAAAAACCCACTCAGTACTGCATAAATACTGCATATATATCATCTTGTGCAAGAGGGGCTTGAAGCCTCTTCTTAACGCCCTTAGCTGTTGTTTCACAGTGAAACATAGAAAAGGAAGGTTTGCCAGATGAATGATGAGTGTAGCACAGAGCTGCAGACTTTGGGAAAACAAGGGAAAAACACAAAAGTCGCCTCTTAACTGCAAAACAAGTATCGGCCAAATGTTTGTGAAAGCAAACCGTCCTCCGAGCTGCACTAATAGCGCTGTGCATCATTAGCCGATGTGCATCCTCCTGCATAACCCTCATAATGACCAAAATTTACAAAATGGACTTAATGGTTTGCTCAATATGACCTGAAATGGGACTGAGCCCATAAGCACACCTGGAAAATGTTGTTTTTCTTTTTTTGCATTCAGAAGAGTCGCCTCCTGGTGGCTATTATTAGAAAGAATCCAGACTTAAGGCACTTCCTGTTGGGTTTCTGTCGTTTCCTGTTTTATTTTGTAAAATCTTACAAATCTTACTGCTGTTAGTGTTCCCTCCTCTGTGATTAAAAGCCTCGCCCTAACTGGCATCATCTTTGTTGTGTTTCACAGCTGCTTCCTATTAGCCAATCACAGCCTGCCTCTAACCATTTGCTCCATCGTTGTCCTTTTTAGCTGCAATTTTTCCTGCGTGTTTGAATTCTTGATGTACTTCTCCTTTTGTCTGCGCCTTATTTTATGGCACACTGACTGATTGCCTTTGACCTCACCCAAAGATTAAACCTTTGTGCTTCCTGCAGTTGGATCCTCAGCGCCTGAGCTGCATCCATCCTTTACAAAATCCATTTTATTAAAAAATGATTAAGAAACATTTCTTACAGATGTTTCTTTCAGTCTCCGTGCTCAGACCTAAACGTTAGCTGGTACGGTCTGTGGTCGTGCTCTTCGTTGGTTTGGATGCAAAGCTATTCCTGAATTATCACCATCACTCACATGATGCGTGGGATATCACTGACGGCCACAGATCCATCGTTAGCCCCGCCCTCTCCCTCCTCATCCTCGCTGCTGTGGGACTCCTCACTGGACGACGAGTAGTCAGTCACTTTGACCGGCGGGCGGCTGGTTTCCTCGCCCTGCCGCAGCTCTCTAAGCTCTTTGGCCAGAGCCGTCAGATCCTGCAGGAAGACAAATTCAAAAGTGACTCAACACTTATTTATTTTCTTCATTTCTGTAAGTCAGTAGTGTGCAGGTCCAAAATGATCATGCAATAACTATTTTTGTCTTTAATAAGTTTATCTTCTTATATATCCGGCGTGTGGCTTCTTGGAGGTTTAAATATCATAACTGAAAGGAATTCGGTCCATCTATGAAAGTCTTTTGTAGCCTAACTATCACGTCTAAAAAGCTCTGCTAAGCTGTTCCAACACCACAAAAGCACAACTCTCAGGTGTGAAGACAGATTTGCATTTCATTAAATTTTAGATTAATATCACACTGAAAATAAAGTGTTTAATTAGCCGAGTAAGAGCGTTGATGATGGAAAAGTAATTTGGCAGCAAAAGCAATTTTAATTTTAAACGATATTTCAGAATTCACTTGCTCGACACCAGAGACCAGACGAACTATACAAGTTGTCTGAGAGAAAGATTCACAACAAATTCAAGGCAGGAAACATTTTTACAATAAGAAAATCACAGTAATATAAAAACACAGCGATCAAAGAGATGAAACAAAGCTGACCTGAGGCGACGTTTCCTTAAATCAATCATTTAAGGAAAATTCATTTTTACACAAAAATCTCACAGTCTGTGCTGCAAAGTTTGAGGTGGAACAAAGTGAAACATGCTATCACAAACATCTCTCATCATCCTGGATTATGCCCCCCCCACAATAAAAAAAGCTGCATGTCTGATATTCCTTATTTTTGCAATCCTGGAACGCTTCAGTGACTCTCGCAGCTCTCCTGCCTCTTTGCGGCGCTGCAGCGGCTCAGAAGCAAAGAGCAGGAAGCAAATGTGTTTTTGGTTTTTGTGCCACCATGCAAGCCGTTAGCGAGTCCGTCGAGAGGAGGACGGTGAAGTGAGAGAAGGAGGATGCACCATGCCTCAAAGTGGGAGGTCAAAGTTCAGCAGACTTGAGCCTCTGTGATATTTTACAGCGAGCAGCCAGGTACATGCACCCTGACGCCTCATCCAGCTTCTGTGCACTGCCTCTGCTGCAAACACGTCACAGCAGCACCAGTTTAAACAAGTTAGAAATGTTTGGCGATGGTTTGAAAAGCAGCCGATATCCTGTCTTTACAGCTGAGATGCTCTTTGCAACATTTTCCTGTTGTGAAGTTTAATACGACAGTAAATGTTTCTCTCTGGATCACAAGAATAACCAAAAGCTTCTCCTGTAAGACCTCCTTAATGCATTAAACCTTCACACGAGAACTCTGTGCAGCACTGTGGTTTCACTGTGAGCCTCACAAACCACGTACGCAGCGTAAAGGAGGAAAATGTATTATTGGAAATTTAAAACACCCCATAAAACACAAAAAAATAATACACTCATAAATATACAGATAATATATTTATCATCTGTATATTAAATATATATTAAATAATGAATAATTTTATAAATTAGGATGATTATAAAATCCATAATAATTTACTACAAAATAATAAAGTTGCTACAAAAATTAAGTAATAAAGTAATCATATAAATACAGTAAACAAAAAATACAATTAATCAAAAAATCTGAAGTAATTTTACACATAAAAATAAGGACTATAAAATATAAACAGCATTCTAAAAAATACTATAAATATAAAATATTAATATAAATAAATGCTGAAATGAAGAAAATGTAAAAACAGACAAAACAAACTAAAATATCAGACATCATCAATACAAATATAATAAATATAGGATGTCTTTGGCTATTATTAGAAATGTAATAAGGTGAATATAAACATTTCATTTAAATTACTAGGAACTAAATTCAAAGGATTAAAAGACCAAAAGTATTTCACTCTGCACTCTGTCAGTAAGAAAGATTTGAGTTGTGATTATTTGAACTTTGAATCATCGTCCAATCCTGATCCTGCGAATGAATCAGAGACTCAGCAAAACAACTACATGTAAACATCTTCAGTTCACAGCAGGAAAACGTGCACGTGAGCAGTGGGTAGGAAGTGGGGCTTTGGTGGGTCACGGGTGGGAGGGGGGTCTTACCAACTCCTGGAGAGAAATGATAACAAGGAAGAAAAGGGGGGAGGGGGGGGCACATGTGGAAATGACACAAGTTATAATTATTATTCATAATTATAACTTATTAAATCCAGACCGAGTCTCTTTGACAGGAAACAGAAGGGAATGTTTTCAGACACATTTTCCAAAAGTAAGAAGATTTTTATTGGAAAACAGTAACTTTGGTTTAAAATCAGGATTTTTTAAGACCTTATATTTTGAAACTGATTGAGAATAATTTCAGAAAGAGAAGTTTGGATGATTTTGATAAAGCTTTAAATCTTTTTTGAAATAGGAGAGACGTTTTCTTCTTTTAAAGTTTCAGGAAGTGAAGGAAATTTGGAAAATAAGATATTTCTTGAGAACTTTCTTTGAAAACAAAGACCTTAAATACAAATATAACTTATTCGGTATGAAAACCTGATAATGAATTTAAAAAAGCAGCATGAATCGATGATACATACATGAGAACAAGTGGAAAGTTGGTGAAAATTAAAGTCTATTCTAAGAAACTTCAAAGCATTTGGAGACAGTTTTCCAAACTGTGTTTTTTATTCATTCAAAGTGAAAATTCACAGCAAGAAACTAAAAATCAAAGGCTTTGCTGGAGGGCTTCTCAGCGAGGAGCATTTACGGCTTTTCAACTTTTCCAGCTCTCATTATTATCTGGGCCGAAGCTTGTGTTAATGTGAGTGAAAAAAATATCACAAGCCGAGCATGATTTTATTCTGAAAGAATCGCACAGGGTAACATCGGGAGTTTAATTCAGAACGTATGTGAGGGTGCCAGTGCGGTGAGGTGATGAAGGAGGAGAAACATCACTAACCTCGTCTACAGCTTTCTTATAGCTCTGACGGACGATGGAGGAGGGATGGAGGACAGGAAGAGGTTAGTTCAGAGAGAAGAGTCAGTCAGGCTTTCACCGCATGTTTATTTAATGAGTATTCTTAATCTTACGGGGGTTTGTGGCACTGCCACACACAGGAGAGCTGCAGGAGTGTGTGTGTGTTTGTGTTATACACAGTGTGTACTCACTGCAGGCCTGCTGGGTCGGGTTATCTCTCTGTTGTCGTCTTTGGCGTCGTGGCCTTCAGTCTTAGAGGCTGAATTACCTAAAACCCAAACACAAGAGGATGTTTTTCATAAAACAGCAGAGCTTGCACAAATTGGGGAAGACAGAACGCTAAGAAAGAATTCTAAGAAGCAATTTAAAGGCACTTTTTGTAATTACCCTTTACAAATATCTCCACTAGGGGGCAGCATTTCATCAGTGGGTTTGGTGAGCCTTCCAAAATCCAAAATTATCAACTGAGCGTAAAAAAATCAACTGCTATGACTTTACGTCCAAAACGTCTGTGCATAGGGAAATATAAGGTGAGGTTAGACTTTAACGCAATACCAATTTGAACCACAAGGTGGTGCAGCAAGTCAGTGTGACCTTTATTTAATCAGGTTGGCCATTACGAACACAAAGTACCTGTTACCAGGTACTTTTTAGTACCTACTCGGTCGAGGTTCCAAGTGATCCAAGGCAAAAATGTGACGTCAAAAGACTGCAAGCCACCGATTGCTGGTCAGTGGCGTCACTCGATGAGTCATGAGAGAGTGTGTGACGAAATCAAAACGGACATTTCTGAAACCTGGCAATGAGTGAAAAGGCCACAAAAACCAACGCCGTGATCCTTGAGTGTGACTAAAAGCTTCAGGCCGAGCAGCAGGTATGTCATTGTTTTAGCGTTCATGTCACATACTAATTATCACAACCTCGGACACGGTACTATAACCAGGACCACGCACACTGAGAAAATGAGGCGAGGCGAGCTGTACCACCTTGAGTCGCGTTGAGCGATGTCGAGTACTAATGGAAAAAATTTAAACTTGTTAAGGAAACAAGTTCAACAAGCATGAAATATTAACGAAAATGAGACATCAAAATATCTAAAAACATCTCAACACCTGGTAAAACGCTGCCCCCTGGTGGTGGTGAGAGTTTAAGCAA